GGGGGCGGGTGGGGGGGGTGGGGGGGGGTGGTGGTGTTAGCCACTTCACTGCCCTGCAGTGCTCTCGGTGGTAGAAACGGGGCCTGTTACAGGCTGCCTGGGTTCTGATTCTCTGTGCAAATCCCAGGTGCCCGGCCTGGCCGTGCGGCTCACGTGCCCACGGGGCCGCCAGCTGTAGCCACGCCCACCATCCTGCTGTGATGGGTACACGTCCAGCCCTGCTGGCCCCCACACTCATCCCAGCACCGTCACCCTGGAAGGCGCCAGGTGACCGCCCCGGTGCCCCACAGACGGTTCTTTCCGGCTATCTTGTTCCCCCGAGTGTAGCGTTAGTGAGAGACAGTGGCGTCCCGAGTGGGAGCAGGCCTGCAGCTGGCACACGCAGCATGGACCCTGCTCCCGGAGCTGGAGTCCCCGCAGGCACAGCCGCTGCCCGGCATCTGGTGGCCATGAGTGGCCCCAAGCCCCGCGGCCCTGAGAGGCAGCTGCATCCCCCGAAGGGCAGGCCAGTGCAGGGCGTCCTTCAGCATGAGGGCATGTGGTGGAGGTAGCTGAGGGCCGTCCTGGCGGAGGACGCCTCATGGAGCCTCGCTCCCTGGCGCTGATCCCGAGTGACTGGCATGGCCAGGTCCAGCCAAGCACACCAGCCGGCTCAGATGCCCTCAGGACCGCAGGCGTGGAGGAAGGGCAGAAAGACCTGGCCTTGTGCTGGCACCGAGGGCAGACGGCACTCCAGGCGTGCGGGGTTGGCGTGCGGTCTTAGCCACTGTGCGCACCATTTAGGCAGGTGACGGGGAGACGTCAGCAAACCAGGGAGGGCTTTGGAGGGTGCCAGACTAGATGGGGGTTGGTGGGCAGACAGGCCGCTATGCCCGCCGCGTCCAGCCCCATCCACATCCAGTGGTCATCGCCTCTGGGCTTGCTGAGGGTGCAGCTGGTGGCTGTGAGCGCGCGGCGCCCAGGTGCGCAGGGCCACTGTGAAAACCCCCGTTCCGCCTCCCCGGCCGCTCCCTGCAGCCCCCGTCTCTCCTGGGTCTAACTGCATGGGGGCGGCTTCTGCGTGTCTCCCGCGCTCCGCGCACTGTCTCTGCCTGCGCCCTGGCACCACTGCGTCCCAGCTGCACTCACCCAGAGCCCCGGAGCATGCGTCCCTGCACAGAAGCACGTGTCCCCGAGGCCTTGAGGACTAACTCTGTCTGTCTTTTCTCCCCTGCCCCCACTCACCTGCGACCACCCCGTCTGCCACCGCCCCAAGGAGTGCTGTAGGCATAGGACCTCCGAGGGCACCTTCCTGCAGCCCGAGCCCCCCCAGCAGCCCCTCCACAGCAAGCGGCTGTCCAGCATCCCCGAGGTGGCAGAGGAGGATGGGGAGTGCTGTGGCCTGCTACACAAGCAGGGCCCCAGGGCCAGGGCCAGGGCTGTGCTAGTCACGGCCTGCCCGGCCCTGCCGGGGGCATGAGGCCTCGCCGGGCTCCTGGGTCCCTGCGAGGCACAGGGCTTCAGGGGCCGCCCCCCACCTGGAGGACTTCCTTCTCGAAGACAGAGGCTGTCGCTTCAGCCGCTCGCTCACCAGGAGCCCGGACAGCGGCCTGGACTGCGGCAGTGAAGAGGAAGAGTCACGCTTTAGTTTCCGAAGCCCCGTGGCCAAGTGCAGCCCAGGCCCGGGTCCCTGTCCCTGCAGGAGAAGCCTGAAGCCGCTGCTGGCCCGGCGTCGGACCCTGACCCGGCAGAGCAGCATTGAGGAGGACTTTGGGGAGCAGGACCCTGGCGACGTCCCCGGGAGTGAAGCCCAGCCCAGCCCGGACAGAGCTGTCCCCAGGAAGCATGGCCGGGACGAGCCTCCCCCCCACGCGGGGTGTTGGGAGGAAAAGCGTAGCCACGCCCGACAGTAGGGCAAGTGTCCAACAGGCCAGACCGCCGCCCCGAGTCGCGAAAGGCCCTCTGGTGTGTGCAGCCGCCTCTCCGCCCGCTTGCCAGGCCGGCCCACCCCGCCCCACGCCGCTCGCTCGGCCCGTCGGGTGCCTGCTGGAGCCCCTGCACTTTTGATTTGTTGAGCTCCACGCTTCCCAGGCTCGGCCGCGCTGAAGGTCTCCTTTCGTTGCTTTAGAGTAATGATTTTGCCCCCAGAATCAGTAATGAATGATTACAGCTGCTTTAATTAAAGGACAACTGAATCTAAATTTTAATTAAGGGTTAGCTGAACCAACATCACCCCAGAGTTGGGCAACATGTCATTTTCCAAATAACTCCTAGGGACTCATGTGTGTGTAGTAGGGCGATGGAAGGGTTTTCCTTTCTTCTTTGTTATTTGGGATTTTTCATTTCATTTTTTTTAGCCTCATGCTTCACTGCAAAAACAAACACACACACAGAGACATAGAAGCTTATTGGGGAAACCCAGTTCTGTACTTTCCCAAGGTCTTTCTTCCTCCGTTTCTTTTCCGGGCCCAGTGTCCAAGACAAACTCCACTCTCAGCCTTTGTCCTTGTGTAGCTGTGCCCCGGCCGCAGTCCAGCTCACTAGCTGGGTTCCGAGAGCCAGGCCGCTCTGGGCCACATCCACCACTGTCTTGTGCCTGCTTTTCAGAGCATTTGGTCCCGTCACGCTGAACTTTTCACTGAGGACTCGGCGGGGCCGTCCACATGGCGCCCGGCCTTTGGTCTGCGCCTCACCCCCGCGATGGGCCCACGCCCCGTGTCTCCACCCAGCGGCAGGCACTGCCTGACGCTCACGCGGCTGTTCACTGTGCGCAGGAGACCTGCTCGGTGCTGGCAGCCAGGGCTAGCCCTCGCCCAGAGACGAGCTTGGCCGAGCTTGCCCGAGCTAGCCCGAGGGTAGTCTCGGCACCTGCAGGGTAGGATTAAGACGTTGCCAGGTGTGTAAATGCGGGTGGATCCAGAACCTTCCGTCTGGGGTTTCCGGAAACCTCCTATCCAGCTGTTCAAGTGGGATGTTCAGAACTGCAGCGTTTTTCCCACTCTGTGACAGCTGAAGGCAGGGATGGGCCAATGTGGTCAGAGGTGCCCAGGTGTGACGGCTGAGTCCAAACCGCTGTCAGCTGGGCCCACAGTCTGTGGTCTCAGCAGCAGAAAGATATTCCCAAGGAGCCGCGTGTCCTGCCCTCCTGACGTGTCTCAGTGAGCTTGCGTGGGGCCCGGGTGCCGGGCCAGCCGAGTGCCCCCCCCCCCTCATTCAGCTAACCTTTCAGTTAAAAGCTAAGTTTAGTTGCCTTTAGAGCTTTGCTTCGAACCTGAACCAATCTGGCTACCTTGACTCTGGGCCCCGAAGTGGCAGGACTTCTGACTCTCATTCTGTCTCAGATTTTAGGGAACCCGGCATCCGCAGGGCGGGCCGACAGGGTGGATCACGCAGGCCGGAGGCTTGCCCACGGCGGTGCTGGCCCTCAGAGGGCATGGCTGGCGGTGGTCCCGTCTCCCGGTGAGTGGCCGATCGGTACCCTCCTCCTGCCCCGAGCTGCTCGGTCTTCCAGCTGGGCATTCTTAAGGGATTTAGAAATAGCATCTCTACTAACTGCAGAGAACTCTCGGCTCCTCGTGGCAGAGAAGAGTTAGAGGACGGGTAAGAGCTCTCGTAAGTACAGCCGCCCCTGGTGCCCAGGGCAGATCCCCGGAAGCCCTCGTCCTCCGCGGAGGGGCAGGGTTTGCAGGCGGCCTCTGCCCCCATGTATGTGACTCACTCCCGGTTCCTCATGGTGCCCACGTGGGGTAACCGCTGGCAACATGCACACAGCTAGGGTGCTGTCTGTTCGTCATGTTATTTATGTATTTATTTTAAAGAGAGTTTTGCTGTAGGGCACATGCACTTGCCAGGGAGACAAGAGACAGGAAGTGAGAAATCACCCCCAGGGTGATGGCCACTCTGCAGCCCCTTCCCCACTCTTCTCTCAAGATTGTAGGCATGCCCACACACGCCTGGCACGAGTGATAAGCCGCCAGGTCTGGGACTCATGGTCGACCACGTGGGCGTCTAGTGACGTAATACCCTGCCACCTGCTGGTCCCCCATTGTATCGTTTTATTGTACTTTTTCCCCAGATAATTTTGACCCACAGCAGGTTGCGTCTATGGGTGCTGAACCCATGGGTAGGAGGGCCAGGTGTATTTCCAAAATCTCACACCAGCCCTCCTCACTCTCCTGGTGTGCGAGAGCTCCCCAGTGTGCGCACAGGGGACACTACCCACTGAGCTCCACGCTCAGGGACGCAGGCTCGGGGCAGGACCCTCGCCCAGGGGCGGTCCTTCACATGCCGACGGCCTTGGGCAGCGGGGGCTGAGAGTCAGAGCACTTACGAGGCCCAGTGTGTCCCCGGCGTGGGACCCCTCACCCACCCTGTCACCGTGCCCTTCGCAGTCACGGTCTGCTTCCAGCATCTGAATTACTTTTCGGAATGCAGCCAGTCATGCCGGACGCTGTCGTCGGAGTCAGAGTGGAGAGGGGCCCTGGGGATCACAGCGTGTCAGGATGGCCACCCCAGGAAGCATTAGCACATGGGAGGGAGGCACCGGGTCTACAGCACAAATGAGGCAGGCTCTCATGAACACACACGCCTTCACACACAGGCCTACACACATGCCGGCTCACACACGCCTGCATACACACAGGCCTGCTCACACGTGCCTGCACACACACCACACATGCCTGCTCACACGTGCCTGCACACACACGCCTGATCACACACCTGCACACACGTGCCTGCTCACATGTGCCCGCACACACCCCTGCTCACACAAGCCTGCTCACACATGTCTTCACACATATCTACACACACTTGCTCACACATGCCTGCACACACCTGTGCACACACACTGCACACACATGCCTACATACACATGCCTTCACATGCGCCTGCACACACACACCTGTACACACAGGCCTGCACAGACACCCGCACACATAGGCCTGCACGTGTACTTACACACACCTGCACATGCACCTGCACACACACACCTACACACACACGCCTGCATACACGTGCACACGTGCAGAGCAGAACGGCTGACCCACCAGAACCCATGAGAGCAGAACGTCTGGGATCTAGGCCCAGAGGAGACCTCGCAGAGGTTGTCGCCCTCGGACCCCGAAAAGCCGCCTCTGACCACAGGTCGTAGCCACGGCGACGACCAAAGGCGAGCACACGGCTGTCCTCCCTCCCAGCAGCTCGGAGGGAGGAGGGTTTTATAAAGCAAAGCCGAGCCTTGAGACCGTGCTTCCTGATACCTTCCTCTGCTGGGTCGTTCTTTTTTAAAGGATGTGCCAGTATTTTTGAATTTCTGTTTCCGGGCGTGCGTGGTCACAGAGAGCTGGGGGGTGCGGGGAACCAGCTGCGGGACTGGCTGCAGTGGGCACGGGGGGGGCTCTGCACCTGAGTCTGCACCTGTGGGTCCCCCAAAAGACCTTTTCCATTTTTACAATTTTTCAGTGATCTTATTTTTATCAGTAAAAACTTCACAGAATGTTAAAGATGCTTTAGAAACAGAATTTTCAGGGACTGAAAGGTAAAACATGTAGATTTGAACTTTGATCCTGCATCAGAGCTCAGCTAGCAGTGTGGCGGACGCACAGGAGCCCATGTGCCCCATCTCCCATGTCGTGTGGCTGATGCACGGGTCACCCCTCCGCGGCGACTCCAGGCCCACGCAGAGTCTCTGTCCTGTGAGATGGTGGCGGTGGCCACCCCATCCAGCCTGCTAGGCCAGCCTCCCCACTGCCAAACAGGCTGTCACGTCGTTGGCCATAACGGTGGAGGGGCCAGCTACAGCTCCCCCTCAGTGAACGACTTTGCCTGGCCCTGGGCAGGGGACGCTGTGGGCACGAGGGCGCTGGGCCTTGCTGAGGGCACCCGGCTGCCGGCTCAACCCCTCAGCCCCGGGAAGTGAAGACAGCTTGGCAGGTCTCGAGCTGGGCAAGCAAGGAGAAAGTCGCCCTGCGGGGTGGCCCTCGTCAGAGCTCCCCTGATGCCCACGTTTCTCTTAGGGTCAGATGTTCAGACGGCTGTGAACGCGTCTGGATTTCAGTAAGATGCTTGTTAAATTGGTGGGAAGAGAGAAACTGAGCGTAAGTGTTACCCACAGACCGGGGTCACTTCAGGCGCCCTGGCTGTTCCGAAGCCACTGAAACAGTTAGAGCCGAGCACGCCCTGTGCATGGACGCGTGTGCACGTGTGTTCCACTGCGTTTAGGAAAGTTAAGTGCAGGCACTTGTCGCCTAGCGAGGAAGAGGAGCACCCCGGTACCCGACCCTCGGAGATGAGTGGCCAGTGCCTGTAAACACGGTGTTCTCCGGTTCCGTGTGCTTAGTTCTGTTTTTCTTGGGAAGATATGAGTGTTAATAGTTTAGAAACCTACTGTGTTCCAGAATCATCAGTTCTTTTCCCAGCAGCAAATATGCCCATCAAGGTACACCCTCCCTCCTCTAGTTCGTGATGAGCCCACAATGACCTGAAAGTACTGTAATTTGAACTGTTTCAGGTGTTCCCCTGAGGGCATGCACGCTTGCTGGAGAGAGAAGGAAAGTGAGAGTTCACCCCCCAGAGGAGGCGGCCACTCTGCAGTCCCTTCCCCACCAGTCCCTCAGGATTTTGGGCACACACGCCTGGCATCGTCTTCATGCCACCAGGTCCAGGACTCGAACTGCAGTTGGCCCTGTGGGAGTCCAGCACCTTAGCCACCATACCACCCGGAGGTTCCCGATAATGTAGTTTCTAATATCCTGTAGGTTTCCGAAAAGAGAAGAAAATACCTTGCATGATTCAAAACCCCAAATTATATAATGCCACTTCTAATAAATTCCAGACCATGTAATTAGCTAGCCGAGGGCCTCTCAACGTTAGTAATGTCCCCAGAGATACACTGGGTCATTAGAAGTCATCATGAGGGTTTTTTTTATGTTTTTCTGTGCACAAATGCATCATGACTTTCCCGATCACCCTGCATTTGAGTCTGGTTCCTGCCCCTGGAATCTGCGGACTCCGTTTGCCTAGCAGTCTAATGCGACTCCCAGACGTTAGGGTTTGGAAACGCATTGTCCTTCGAAGCGGGGCAGGGCACACTGGGTCCAGCTGAGCCAGGAAGTCCTGAACTTGCCAGTTACCCGTGCGCTGAGAGCCTGGCCCATCCCCAGTGCCGGCTGACGTGCACATCAGCCCTCGGCCTCAGACCCACCCTGGGGCGTGCAGGGCCCGGTCGTCCTGGGCGCCACCGCAGTGCTCTGGCATGCCCTGGACCGAAGCTGCTCTGCACAGTGCGGCCCCCAGGTTCAGAGCGAGGCTGTTGACCATCAACATCTGCTTCCTCAGCCTGCCCCCGTCCAGGCCGCCTGGCCTGTTCCCACCTGTGCGTCAGCTAAAATTAAGTCATGCAAGGCGAAATGAAAGAGGCCATTGCCACCAATTCCCTCCCACCACTCTGCCCACGTGCCGCGCTGTAGGCGAGGAGGGGTCACCAGCCCTTGCCCTCCCCTCTCGCCCCCAGATGAGCACGCCGGGCGGGCCCGCCTCTCTCCAGACTTCTACGAGGAGTCCGAGACGGACCCCGGTGCTGAGGAGCTCCCGCCCCGCATCTTCGTGGCTCTCTTTGACTACGACCCGCTCACGATGTCCCCGAACCCAGATGCTGCAGAGGAGGAGCTTCCCTTCAAAGAGGGGCAGATCATCAAGGTGGGCGGGCGGGGCTGTGGCCGCAGTGCCGGGGTCTGGGCGAGCTGGGGACGGTGGGCAGGGAGTCCACAGCCAGGGCCGTGGCCATGCAGGCCACGGGAGGTGGGGGCAGTCGTGCCTTGTGCCCTGGAGGACCAAGCACACAGCCTGTCCTGTGGGCCCTGCTGGTCTGTGTTGTCCAGAAGTGCACAGCGCCACATTTTAAGAGCCCTCAGTGCACGAGACCTGAGCTGCAGGTACGCGGGGAGGAGGTGTGTGTGTAGAGGATGAAGGGGCAGAGAAACAGGAGCCCACCGGCCACGGAGCCCTGGCAGCTTGTACCCTTTGACCCTTCTGGTCAGTGGAGACTGGCCCTGTGCATCCGGAGGAGGGAGACTGAGGCAGAGCATACGGAGGAGAGGGGCCTGGAGCTCTGAGGTTGCCGGTCCCAGAAAGGGTCCTGGCGGCCGCACACGGTGTGTCAGAGCGCCCAGCACCCGGCACCCGGTGGAGGGAGCAGCCGCGTCCTCTGCAGGGCAGGGTCCCCTCCCCACACCGACCTATGCGAGTTTGAGCACACGCCCCAGAGCCCCCGCTCGGTGGGCAGCTCCGTGAATCAGTGGCTGGGAGAAGGTCCGCCTTCGCAGCGTGCGTCCTGGAGCTCAGGTCCCGACGGCCACCACATGTGGGCGACTCCTGTAGACAGTGACTTGGACTGATACGAGCTGCTGGGAGGGGACCATGGCCTCTGAGCCACGTCTGCCCCACGGCTCTAGGTCTACGGAGACAAAGATGCCGACGGCTTCTACCGCGGGGAGACGTGTGCCCGGCTCGGCCTCATCCCTTGCAACATGGTGTCGGAGATCCAGGCCGATGATGAGGAGATGATGGCCCAGCTCCTCAGACAGGGCTTCCTGCCCCTGAGCACGCCCGTGGAGAGGCTAGGTAAGGGGCGCTGCTTACCTCCACCCGGGGCGGGGTGGAGCAGGAGCTTGCCAGCGTCGTGCGGAAGTGACTGCTGATACTTTGTGGGCAAAACCCTCTGTGCCAAGCAGGGCCACAGCGTCCTGCAGGCCTGAGGCAGACGCAGCTGGTCTTGAGGCAGATGACCTCGGGGAGGGGTCCGGCCGCCGCTCTAGCCTGTCTGTCCATAAACCCACAGCTAGCTGCTCTGCAAGTGCGCGCCGAGGCAGCTCACCCAGGGCAGAGCCGGGGCCTGCAAGGCTCGCGCTGTGCCCCCGGCTGTGCTGTCCGCAGGTGCCCACACGCTCCGCCCTCGCCTTGGTCCCCCTGGGCCAGTCTTCAAAACCAGGGAGCAAACAGCAGAACCATTCTCAGCGCGTTTTAAGCAACAGGACATTTAAGTTTTTAATTTTCCACGTGAAAGTGAAAGGCTTCCAAAGAATGGTAGGAAGATCAGTTTAATGTCATTCACATTTAAGTGAAAACACTGGATCAACTTTTTTAAAAAAAAATATCGAAATTTTTAAACATGCTGCTTCAAAGCCTCTGCCCATCGGCAAGGTCTCCGAGCCTCCGTGCCAGCTCTAGCTGCTGCACATTTCCCGGTGGGCACTTCCATGCCACTCGGCGCTCACATTCTGGAGACCTGGGCATGAGCGTGGCCACCTCTCGCTGTGCCTCGTGTTGGGGCGCGGCAGCTCCGAGGTCCCTTTGTCAAGGGCACCAACCCCACTCACGAGGCCCACTGTCAGAGCCCCCAGACCTCCTCACCTTGAAAGAGGCAGTCCATGGCCTGCTCGGACCCACCTGTCTACCCAGCCGGGCTGCGGGCAGAGACCGAGGGGCAGCCCCTCCTCGAACTCCCTCCACGGAGGTTGAGGGGGCCACACAACCCACGGCACGCTCCCACAGCGCCTGCCCTTGGTAATTACTCGCACCTGCACAAATGTGACTTTATCTGGGGGAACTTCAGCAGTGGCCTGACCGTGCTCTCCCGTGGTCAGGAGGACGCAGGCAGGCTGACTCGGGTAGAGCCATCGTGGACGGGCACGGGCCCACCTGCCGGGAGCGGCTGCATTGATTGTCCCACCTTACCCTACGCGTCTGTGAGCACGTCAGTAACTAGAGAGGCCCGGCGCTTCTGTCTCTCGGAGCGACAACTCCAGCCACTGCCCGTCCTGTGTGTGCGGAACTGAGGAAGGAGGTCCCGAGGGTGGGGCAGTCAGCCCTGCACCCCGGAGGGTGCTCTGCCCCCCCAGCCGCTCCCCTCAGCAGTCCTCCGCGCTCTCTGCCAGACTCTGAGCGAGGTGGCCCTCTGTGCCCGGCTGGGCCAGCCCGGGGCGGAACTCCTGGCATGTAGGGCAGCTCTGCAGGGCGATGTCCCCTCCACAGACGGCTGTTTCCTGAGGGGCTCCTCCAGGCCCCCCCAGCCGCTCCCCTCAGCAGTCCTCCGCGCTCTCTGCCAGACTCTGAGCGAGGTGGCCCTCTGTGCCCGGCTGGGCCAGCCCGGGGCGGAACTCCTGGCATGTAGGGCAGCTCTGCAGGGCGATGTCCCCTCCACAGACGGCTGTTTCCTGAGGGGCTCCTCCAGCATCTAGCACAGGTCGTCCTGTGGGGGCTGCCGTAGAGGACCCTGAGTGCGCTCCGGGCACACGGAGCAGCCTGGGCTTGCCTGGGCCCCTGGGTGTGTCCAGGAAAAGGTCTTGGATCCCACAGTGAAGACTTTCGGGAGTTCTGTGCTTTCCGGGCTGTGCATGGGCTCCTGGTCTGCAAAGTGGGCAGCGGGCCAGCTCGCCGTCCAGGGTCAGGCCTGTGCTCGCTGTGTGCAGCGGATCGTTCCAGAGCTGCTCACACTCGTTGCTGTCCCCCAGAGAAACCAGTGGTGCCCCTGGGAGGCTGGTCCCCCACTGTACAGGAGGGCCACGGCGGGGCAGGTCTGAGAGAAGGCACCGTCCTCGATGCTGTACGGAAGGGCCACGGGGGGCAGGTCTGAGCGCGCAGTCCTGGGCAGCTGGCCAAGGGGCACCCGTGCAGGGTACAGCATTCCCGGGCTTTCGCAGTGGGTTAGCTGGCTCCTCCATGAGCGGGGATGGGCAGCACCCCAACAACGCAGACAGTACTCCAGTGCAGGCAGCACCCCGACAACGCAGACAGCACTCCAATGCAGGCAGCACCCTGACAGGCCTCGTGGCTGGGTCACCTTTCCCCAGCCCTGGGTCCTGGGCACGTGGCTCTGGTGTGTCCAGATGTGAGCCCAGAACTCCGCAGTGGGCCCCTGGCAGAGCACTGGCCGCCGTGGCCACGCACAGCCCTGTCACCTGCTGCGTGGTGTCAGTCACCCTGACGAGGGTGGCGTGGAAGGAAAGGGGCGGCCGTGGTTCTGGAATAACTTGACGCTGACTTTCTTCCTCCCCTCGTGCCGCAGACAGAGGCAGGAGGGGCGGCCGGCGCCATTCCATGCCGACGCGGAGGATGGTGGCTCTGTACGACTACGACCCGAGGGAGAGCTCGCCCAACGTCGATGTCGAGGTACTGGCCGGCACCTCCCTGCCCAGACCCGCCGCGGCTCCGCCCAGC